AACCCTTGATAATTTATAAATTATTATTATTTTGTCATATCTTACACTGTCCGACATCTTCCTTCACCCACTTGTCTGTTGTCCATCCCCCAGGAGGGGGTTATATGTAGATCCTTGTAATCAGTTCCCCCTTTCTACCCCCACCTTCCCCCTACCCTCCTGGTATTGCTACTCTCAATATTGGTCCTGAGGGTTTACCTGTCCTGGACTCCCTGTGTTTCTAGCTCTTATCTGTACCAGTTTACATCCTCTGGTCGAGCCAGATTTGTAAGGTAGCATTGGGATCATGAGAGTGGGTGAGGAGGAAGCATTTAGGAGCTAGAGGAAAGTTGTATGTTTCATCATTGCTACACTGCACCCTGACTGGCTCATTTCCTCCCCATGACCCTTCTATAAGGGGATATCCAGTTGCCTACAGATGGGCTTTGGGTCCAGTGCTTTCTTACTCCAACCCACCCACATCAGAAGGAAGCACTGCACCATCTTCAAAATTGTTATGTTTGAGTCCCTTGGTGCAACCGCTGTGTCCATCCATCCGGTCAGGGTCTTCCTCTTTTTCACTGTCCCTCTGCTTTACCAAGCATGACGTCCTGTTTCAGGGACTGGTCTCTCCTGATACCATATCCAAAGAACATGACATGGAATTTCACCATCTTTGATTCTAAGGAGCATTCCGCTCTCTTGACAGCTCCTTGCAGGAGCATTGATTGTGAATCTAAGGAAAATATAATCCTTGACAACTTCAATCTTTTCTCCATTTATCGTGATACTACCTATTGGTCTGTGTGAGGATTTTCATTGCCTTAAGAAAACAAAGAGGGAATGTAGTGAGTGGATTTTTGCTGTTTCAAAAGATAGTTGACAGTATGATTTAAAACCTTAACATGTGCCTATTTTAATGTCTCATTAGTGATTTGTTCTACAGAAATAATGAAAGATGAATACAAAGCACTAGCTCGAAGATTATTCATGGGCACATTGTTAGTAGTCAGAAAATTAGGGCCAATCTAAATGTTCAAACCAACAAGTTGGTTAAATTACACTGTGGAGGAATATTAGCCGTGAAAAAAAAACGACCTGGCTGAAAGGTCATCGATTTGTCTGGAAGGGCAGATGAACCCTTTAGACTTGGTGGGGCCTCTCTACAATTTTACGAAACAAAACAGTCTTACCTCCCAGGCAAAAATCCAACTCGTGGCCAAAATTTGCCAGCCCTTAATATACATAAAAATTATTGAGATGTTTATGAAATAGTGGTAAGTGATAGGTGAGAATGTTTACGAATGTTCGTTCAGTGATAGAATTCTTGGTTTCCACGAGGGAGGCCCAGGCTTGATACCCGTCCACTGCCCCTCTTACACAACCACCATTCGCTTGTAGATGGGGCTGGTATTTGGTTAGGGCTCTGAACCGATTTCAGGGGAGCTTCCAGACCAAGCTCGACTAGGAAGGAAAACCCAGTGAGCTAAATCTGCCAGTTAAAAACTGATAGATCACAGTAAAGTCCAATTTACAACGGATCCAGGGGGTGGCCCAGGGCCAGATGGTGGTGTGTTCTGTTGTGCAGGGGTCACCGTGAATTAGAAGCCAGCTTGATGGCATCAAGCAACAACAGTGTGTTTGCACATATACATGACAAAAAATGATCAGCCACATTTAGGTGTAATCACCCACCTGTATGTTCTGGTGAGGAGTAAAAGGGGAGAGGGAACCCCACAAAACATCACAGGTTCAGTAGGCGCAATTGTACAGTGATAACAAGTAAAGATTATAGTAAAGTCAGAGAGAGCATGAGAGGTAAAAGATGGAGTCAAGTAATGGAGTCAGACGCAATTCATGGTAGCATTGCTCACCTCAGCCCCACTTGTTGGTCCTCATGGAGGGGACTTAGCTGCCAGAGTAGAAGCAGCTGCCTCGTCCTCCTCAGCCACCCTCCCGAGAACCAGGGAGCCTCCTTATTTATTGCTAACCACGCATCATATTACTTTAGGGGGATACATCACAGCATCATGCGTCACAGAGAGGGGCAGTACAATTCATCCTTGAACAGGTTTGAGCATTCTGGTGTCTCATACAATAAAACAGACAATTACTATCCTGGGAGGCATGCAAGCCCCCTGATAGCAGATAACAACTTACGTCATAGGGAGGGGTTGTAACATAGGCAATACAAGCAATAGGAGGGGGATGACCTAGGGGTGAACGCGCAATAGTAAGAGGAGGGAATAGGGGGCATGTGTGGCAAGATGGTAGCCTAAGCTTAGTCATCTTAGAGTGGTCCCGGGCTTGCCTATGGGCACTGCTTCAAGGGAACAATAACAGAAAGGACTGGGCCCTACTTAGGGTGAGTCAGACTATACAGTCTGGCCGCTCTAGATGGCTGATGTTAAGGAGAATAACCTCTGACCTACTTTCGCTGACCGCCTAGTGTACAGTCATACTCAAGCAGCTAAGTCTGGTACATATTATTGGGGAGACAGCTTAAGAGAAATCTTTCTGTTCCCCACATTCTGGTAGTGTTTATATTACGGTGTTGTTGTTAGGTGCTGTGGAATCTGCTCTGACTCACAGCAACCCCATACACAAGAGAACAAGCCACCAGCGGGTTCTGCACCATTACCCCCATTGTTCCTATGTTTGAGCCCATGGTTGAAGCCACCGTATCAATCTAGCTTGGCAAGGCTCCTCCTCGTTTTCACTGACCTTCCTCTTTACCAAGCACGATGTCCTTCTCCAGGGACTGGTCTTTCCTGATAATATGTCCCAAGTCTCACCATCCTTGTTTCCAAGGAGTAATCAGGCTGTATTTCCTCCAAGACAGATTTGTTGGTCCTTTTATCAGCCCATGGTACTTTCGGTGTTCTTTGTCAGCACCGTAACTCAAATGCATCAATGTTTCTTCAATCTCCCTTATTTTTTTAATCATTGTACTGGGGGCTCGTACAACTCTTATCACATTCCATGCATCCATCCATTGGGTCAAGCACATTTGTAAATTTGTTGCCCTCATCATTCTCAAAACATTTGCTTTCTGCTTGAGTAGTCTTCCTTATTCAGTGCCCAACTTTCATATGCACATGAGGCAATTGAAAATATAATGGCTTGGCCCAGGCCCATCTTAGTCCTCAAAGCAACATCCTTGGTTTTCAACACTTTAAAAAGATCTTCTGTAACAGATTTACCACACACTGTAATAAGGGATGAGGGAGGAGGGGGGTCTCTTTTCTTTTTGTTTTCATTTTTGTGCTTAGAGTACAGCATGAAAATTGGGAAAGTTATTGATTTCCATCCCAGAATCTTTCCTCAATGTCTTCGGGTAACTGTCTCTCTCTCTCTCACACACAAACACACACACACACACACACACACACACACACACACACACACACACGTACACGTGTATACATATGTATATATAGATGTGTGTGTGTATATATATATACAGTGAACCCTCGCCACTTCGCGCTTCGACTTCCGGCTTCACTGTATCGCGGTTTTTGCGTAACAGCGCATTCTCTGTCATTACTGCCACTGATTGGCTCATACTGTACATGCTTGATGCCATGAATAATATAATAAATAATAAATGATAATTGTAACGTCCAAAATGTTTTACTGTATTTTCCCTTTTTCGTTTAATAAATTGGGTAATACGAGTGTAATGGTGACTAAAGGGTGTTTTTTCATGTCCTCTATGCTCTAACTACGAAAATATTTGATTTACAAATAAGGAATCCTACTTCGCGGAATTTCATTTATCACGGTAGGGTCTAGAACCGATTAACCGCGATAAACGAGGGTTCACTGTATATGTATGTATGTATGTATTGTTTCCAGCTCTTATAAACTAAAATAATAAAATAATGCAACACTTTGGGCCATAAACAGATTAAGGAGAAAACAGTTGTCAGGCAGTATGTTAGACAGGATTCTCTAGAGAAACAAAACCAGAATACTTATGATTTCAGATATATTTATATAGATAGATATACACAACATAAGAAATTAAAAGCTAATTAGTCTACAGAGCAGTACAAATGGCTCTGTTCAACTCACTTCCATGAGACAGCGAATACATTGGCAGTCCTTCAAGTCTTGAGTGCCACCAGGTATAAGTCCTGGAAGCAGACAGCTGAGTCCTCTGTAGAGCAATTCAGGCAACCCGGCCACAGGCAGCAAACAGCAAGGCAGGTCACCAACAGTCAGCTAGATGACAGGGTCCGACAGTCCCCAGCTCAAGCGATGTATACTCCAGTAGCATGGGGAAGCAGGTGTTGAAGGAACCTCAAACTACAATGACACAGTCCGGGTTGGGTGTCCCACAGGTAGTGTAGCTCACAAGTTGAGGCAGAGAACCAGCTAAGGCAGCCGCACACTGGTCCAATCATCAAAGAGCAAGACACAAGAAAGGTGAGGGTCACTGAGCCATTTATCTCTCTGCCCTTCAATTAATCCCATTTGTGTTCATTGGCCAGGTAGGCACAATAAACCTACCTATCACAGGCAGTAAGTAAGCCTGTATCAGGAGTCACTATGGCAACCGTCCTTGACTGATACCGGGGTTTGTTTCTGTCTTTGTTTTCCTAACAGTATCCTTTGAACCACCAGACTTTGATATTCTTGGTTTCAAGGATCATATGAAGGTGTTGGTGAAGTTCCCCTCCTATGCTGCCCGGAACATAGACGTGGAAATGTTGCAGCAGTATTTTTCTCTCGTCATTGAACATCAGTCAGAGAAGATGGTCAAGAAGGTAAGTGCCTGTCTCTTGTGTACAGAGATAGGCAGTTCTGAGTTGTCAAGGAATGCTCTTGACGTCCTCTGTCAAAAAGAAATAGGTAGTCGCACAGCTCAAGTGAAGCGGTTGGGACTTTTATGTCATGTGGATTTGAGGAGCTAGGTGCCCGCAGGACATTCATTACAGAAATGCACGGCCATCGCCTAGCAGTGCCACCTTTAAAAGAAATTGCCCTGTACACACACAGCAAGGCACATGTGGAAGAAAGGTGCGTGGTGTAGACGGGGAGAGCTGCCAGATGTCTGCCCCTGTGAGAAAGGGGTGGATAGGCTGAACCACACAGGAAAAGTGTCTGCCTCTGCCTCCGACCCTCACACGAGGCTCTGTCTCCTGGTTTCCACGAAGTGGCTTTGGGAGGCATAAACAGTTTGTACTCAGCTGCTAGCCTAAGGGTGGCAGTTTGAAACCACCTCCCAAAGGGTAGCCGTCTGCTTTCATAAAGATTACAACCAGGAACCCGTATGGGGTAGTTCTACAGTGTAACACCCAGGGTCACCAAGAATCAGCATCAACTTGGCAGTAGTGAGTTGGGTTGAGTTTCCACAAAAGACCTAACTGAATGCCTGTAACCTCCGGATGAGCCTAGTGTCAGACAGACCTGGATCGTCAGTCATTAGTTCCCACACGTCTGGAAATGCGGGAATGAGTGAAAAATGGAAAAACTGCGTGCACCAGTGAGTCTGGCTGTAAGAGCAGATTGTATTTGCATAGCCCTTTGCCAGGTACAAAACACTTGCGGGTATAGCAGCCTACCCACTGGATACGAGGGACAGGTGTGGTTCAGGCGAAGAACACAAGAAGTCCAAAAGCCTGAGACTGGAGTGGACCTGCTAGCAGTGACCAAGGGAGGAAGATCAAAGGAGCAGAGTTAGGGAGGTCCTGGGGAGCTGGTGCATGAAGGACACCGGGTGTGTGGTGGGAGCCACTGAGGGTTTTATGCAACAGAGCAACTGAATCTGGCTTCCTGCTGGTGTGTTAAGAGAATACCACTGGGACCAAGCGCTCAAGTGGAAAGAAAATGCTTTGAAAATGATGATGGCAGCATGTGCACGACTGTGATAGATACAATTGATGTGTGGATTGTTATAAGAGCTCTAAGAGCTCCCAGTAAAATGATAAAAGAAGGAGGAGAGAAAGAAAGGAAAGACCACTGGGTAAATGATGAACGTTGAGCGATCAATTACATGTCTACTATGATCCAGATGAGAGATGATGAAGGCATGGCCCACTGGCGGCAGTGGGGGAAGTGAAAATTGATCGGATTCTGTGGCTGCTTTACGAGTAGACCTGGCAGTAACTCCAGATGGGTTGGATGTGCTGTGTGGGAGAGGAAGAAGAATTCTGATTCCAAAACATTCAGTAAAAGCAAAGCAGTGTCGCTCTCACCACTGGAGGGTGCAGGGAAGGTGGGGTGGAAAGGGGGAACTGATGACAAAGATCTGCATATAACCTCCTCCCTGGGGGATGGACCACGGAAAAGTGGGTGAAGGGAGACGTCGCACAGTGTAACATATGACAAAATAATAATAATTTATAAATTATCAAAGGTTCATGAGGGAGGGTCACCTGGGAGGGAGGGAGAAAAATGAGCTGATATTAAGGGCTCAAGTAGAAAGCAAATGTTTTGAGAATGATGAGGGCAACAAATGTACAAATGTGCTTGACACAATGGATGTATGGATGGTGATAAGAATTGTACGAGCCCCAATAAAATGATTAAAACAAAAAAAACAATGCTTATCTAACTGAAAAAAAAATAAGCAATGCAGTGTTACCATTAACTAAAGAGCCTGCATGGAGCAGGTCCAGGGCGGTGGGCATCCTTGGTTCTGTTATGGATGTGTCAAGTTGGAGATTCCTCTAAGGCATTCTGGAGATGTTAGGTGGGAGTTATTAGTCTGGAGTTCAGGGGGGAACTCGCCACTGAAGAGAGGTCCTCAGGGAGTCATTTGAATGCCACAAGACCAGGGAAGATCACTAGGGTGTGAAGGTGGAAAGAGAGAAGAGCAGAGCCCTGGGGCACCCTAAAATTGGGAGATCTGGCAAAGAACAAGACTAATAGAGAGTCTGAGAAGGAGCCACGAGCATTGTCAAAGGAGAACCAGGTATGTGTGGTACCCTGGAAGGCATGCGAGGAAAATTCCAGGAGAGTGTGATCCTCAGAAGAGCCATGGTAGCATAGTGGGTTATATGTTGAGCTGTGACCCTCAAGGTCAGTGGTTCAAAACCACTAGCCACTGCATAGAAGAAAGATGAGGCTTTCTGTTCCTGTAAAGATTTACAGCCCCGGAAACCCACAGAGGAAGTTCTACTCCGCCCTATATGGTTGCTGTGCGTCAGAATGGCCTGGGTGGCAGTGAGAGCTTTTTATTTTGTTTTGTTTTCAGTTTGGTGAACTGTAGGGTCACATGCTGCAAGTAGGGAAGTTAGAAGAGGACTCCGACATGGTGACTGCATTTAGCAACATGGAGTCAGGAGTTTTGGTGATCAGAGTGACAGGAAAGAGGCAAAATGGAGATAAAAGGAGAGCTAATTCTTTAGGAACACTTCAGTAAAAAGGAAGGAGCCCTGGTGGTGTACTGGTTACACATTGGGCTGCCATCTGCCAGGGTCAGCAGTTAGAAACCACTAGTCACTCCTCGGGAGAAAGGTGGGACTTTCTACCCTGGTAAAGAGTCACAGCCTCAGAAACTCACAGGGACAGTTCTACAGTGTCCTAGAAGATCACTATGGATCGGCATCAACTCAATGGCAGTAAGTTTGATTTGAGTTTCTCTAAAGGGGAGGAGAGACATGAAGTGGGAAGGAGGTCCAAAGGGAGTGTGGTAGTTACATAATCTGTGTCAACTTGATACCATTAAGAGTGAAGGGGTGGAGTCTGGCCTGTCAATCAGGTTGCAGCTTGATGACCTCATTTGGAGGTACTAAGGAGATAAATAGCTTACTGGAGCCCAGACACACTCTCTTTGCTTCATCTTCCTGCTGACAAGACACATGGAGCTATCCTGATGGAGCCAGACCCTGGAGCTGGAGGAGTCACGTGGAGACCCCAGCCAGCGCTGACATGCTTCTTCTGCCACTGGATCCACAAGACTTTCCACCCACTGGCTTGTGATGTTCCTGCATTCGGTGACATAGCATGTGTTGCATGAGTCTGAAGAGGACTTTATAGGTTGGAATGGGACACATGGACTAATATCGGACTTATGGACTTGATCTGGACTGAGTTGGGATGTTTTCTAAATGTTCAATTGCTCTTGTATATAAATCTCTTTCTTATACACGGATGAGTATCTAAGAATTTGTTTCTCTGGTCAACCCCAGACTTATACAGGGGGGAATTTGAAGATGGGAAAACGCAGCACGTTCATATGATGGGGGGGACAGAGGGGTGGGAGTGGATGTGGGGGTATTGCTATGCTAAAGCCTAACCCTAAAGTAGGAGGGAGTGGGTGAGATCTCTGCAGTATACAGAGGGATTGGCTTTGGTTCAGAGCAGGCATGGTACCTTCCCAGTCACAAGGGTGGAGGAGTGGGCATCCTTGTGTGTTGGAATGTAGGCCATGGTGGATGCGTCCACTTTCACAGGGAGCAGGAAGTAGGGACTGAAGCCTGCTCCAGAATGCACAGGGCAGCACCAGGTTGGGAACCCCAGTACTCTGACCCCAGGTTCTCATGTTTGGCCCCTGGGTGAGAGACCTTCCCCAGGCTCTGCCCCTGGCCTACTTTTTCTTCGGTACTCATTGTCATGCATGAGTTTTTAGGGAATCCCTTCTGCTTCCAAATCCACGCACAGACCAAACTCACTGCTCTCACGTCAGTCCGGACGCATCGTGACCCTGTAAGACTGGGCATATCTAACTGTCCCTATGGCTTTCCGAGACCATGACTCTTTACAGGAGTAAAAAGCCCAGGAGTTGCTGTTGGTTTCAAACTGCTGACCTTGCAGTTAGCAGCCTCATTAGAGAACAGAAAGGCAAGAATGTTAATTTGAGGACTAAGGTGCACCTGACCCAAGCCATGGTATTTTCAGTCGCCTCATATGCATGTGAAAGTGGGACACTGAGTAAGGAAGGCTGACGAAGAATCGATGTATTTGAATTGTGGTGCTGGGGAAGAGTACTGAAAGGACCGGGGACTGCTGAAAAACACACCACCAACTCCGTCTTGGAGGAAGTACAGCCAGTGCTTCTTAGTGGCAACGATGGCACGACTTCATCTCACTTACTTTGGACATGTTGTCAGGAGACACCAGGCCTTGGAGAAGACATCGTGGTTGGTAAAGCGGAGGGGCAGCGACGGAGAGGAAGGCCCGCATCGAGATGAATTGACACCGTGGCTGCAATGACGATCTTCAAAGTAACAATTGTGAGGGCGGCTTGGGACCGGGCAGTGTTTCCTTCTCTTGTGGACAGGGTCGCTCTGGGTCGGAGCAGACCCAGGACCCTAACAACAACATGTGTGAGTGTGTGTAGACATGTGTACATGTAGTTTTGTGACAAAGTTGCTTGCCCTTTCTGCCTAGGCCTATGGTATTTCTATTGTTCCCTGTTTAAAGACAAACACCCCAAAGAGGTAGTAGGGTCTGTGCCTTAATTTCTGAGTCCTGCTGTACCAGATACCACCAGTGAGTGGCCTTGCCCTTGCTCCTCGCTCCTGTGTGTGCATGTATGTGAGTGCTCAGGCGCATGTACACGCATTTCAGCTTCTGTTCCTTAGTTACCGCCACAAGGCATCTCTCTCTCTCTCTCTCTCTCTCTCTCTCTCCATCAGTGCAGGCTTGACTCTGTGCCTGCTGCTGCTCCGTGTACCACTCAGAACGAATTAGGTTTAGGGTCTACCCTTCACTCACATCACCTCTTTAACATCACCAGGAAACCCACTGCCCCACGGGAGGGATTGCATCCAACACATATTGGGAGGCTTAGGATTCCAGTACATATTTACGATGGGGCCAGGGTGGGGGTGCAGGGAGGCAGGGAATTGTAGAATCCGTAGTTTGTTTTTTTCCAAATGAAATTAAGTTCTTTCTAAAAGACGAATGATTTTTTTTCCTTATTGCGTTTCAGCACAATCCCCCAATACACGGAAACCTCACGGGAACTCTCACCTATGGCATTGACAAGTTAATTCCAAACACAAACCACTGCGTATCGGTTTATTTTGAACCAAAAGACCTGGGACAATTAATAAGACCCAGCTTGAAATGTGTCCTCCTTCCTGGCCAGGAATCAGGTATGCTCATGTTTGAAACTTCAGAACCTGTTTATCATAGAACAGTGAAGGTGTGTCTCTCAGTAAAGCCCCGGAGCGCAAGATCTTTCCTGTTGGCCAGTCACTTTCGGGGATGTTCTCATAATGTAGGGGCAATCAGATATCTACCTTTATACAAATCTTCCTTGTAGTTCACAGAGTCGGGACTAAGTTCAGTGCAGTGTGTCGGTGCAAAATAAACGTAACCCGTTGTCATCGGTGATTCTGATTCCTGGCAGCCCCTCTGTGTGACAGAATAGAACTGTGCTCCACTGTGGCGCGCGGATGACACGGCGCAGCACGGACCGAGACAAGAATGGTCAGGACCCTTCTGGTAGATGCAATCTGCGAAGTTTATTGACGCTGCTTCTGAGCCCGAAGTCAGCTGCGGAAGACCCCAAGCTCCTAAAACCCCGGGTATAAATACCCTGCTCGGTGACGTG